CATTAGTGGGGTAGCTTGGATGTATTAAAAAACTTAGGTTTTTTTTTTAAACTGCCATTTTGGGATTTGTAAATTTGTCTTTAATTGATAATGTTTTAAAAGCTAGTTCTTAAGTTCTAACACCGGGAGTTTTCTTTTTCTTTTCACCAAAACATTTGTGATTCACAAGTTACTTTTAAATTGCTTATCTTGTTTTGTTTTACCAACAAACATTTTCAAACTTTTTTTTTCTCATTTCAGAACACAGATATGTAGAACTCTTCTTGAATTCTACAGCAGGAGCAAGCGGTGGTGCTTACGGTAGCCAAATGCTAGGAGGCATGGGTTTGTGTAAATATCACTTTAGTGTCTTTTTTTAAGCTAACCTTGTATGCCTTTTCTCTCATTTCAGAACACAGATATGTAGAACTCTTCTTGAATTCTACAGCAGGAGCAAGCGGTGGTGCTTATGGTAGCCAAATGATGGGAGGCATGGGCTTGTGTAAATATCGTTAGTTTTTTTAAAAACCAAAACATTTATATCTGTATAAGTAGATAATAAGCTAAGTTAATATATAATTAGCATAAGAGTTTGTTAGCATAATAATTTTAAACTACAATAAAATATTAAGTTAGCAAACAAATTCAGGCAAAGTAAATTTTGTAATTACTGTTAGATTACTAAAATATTGTAAAAAATAAAGCTCGTTTTAGGATAGCTTACTCAAAGTAGAAACAAGTACTTTGGGGGAGGGGACTATTGAATATGTTATAGTATCTGTCTATAAAGTATAAGTTTAAAACAGCAAAAATACAGGATTAAAAGTTGTATTTTTTTGTAACAGCTGGGCAAAATTAACTAGGTGTTCATTGATACCTGTATAATGAAATTTCTAAATATATATCAAGCTAAGGGGGAAACCCCACTAAAGTTTCATAAGATCATCAAAAAAAAATGCCTCTACTTAGTGAATCATGTGTATTTAGTCCTCAACCCTTTGGTTTATAAACATTGGACTAGCTAAAATGATGAATATAAATGTTAATCTGGTCATAGATTTGTCAATAGATAGTAGGCAGAAGGAGACAGTAATATAAGGTCAAGACTGGAAATTGTAGACATAGAATTACAAGCCCGGTACCACCAGGTACCACATTGGATAAGGAGCAAAGCTCTAATGTTCTCTTAACTTAACAGCAAACCAGTCCAGTTACGGTGGTCCAGCCAGCCAGCAACTGAGTGGTGGTTATGGAGGTGGCTACGGTGGCCAGAGCAGCATGAGTGGATATGGTAAGTTTGTTTTATTTTTTTATATACCTAGAGTAAGTTTTTTAGATTGGTTTATTTAGTTGGGCTCCTTTTTAAAAGAGTGGGATATTAAATGTATGATTTTTTATTACAATTCTTAGTAGTATAATTTACAGAAAGTCATTGGGAGGAGGGAGATATATTTTAGTAATTGCAATTTTAGAACACTATCAAGGAAAAAAACCTGTTTTGTTTATTAAATTATTAGTTTGCTTTTCTGTTGTAGCATTAAATTTTTGGAGGGTAATTTTTAAATATTAGGCTGGTGGTTGGGTTCAGGACAGTATTTTACTAGTCAGTTAACCTAGGGATGGTTTTATTTATATATTTTTCAATTGGTCTAAAGAATGGTGATTTTGGTATTATAGTCTTACCCTACAAAATCCTTTTGCAGACCAAGTTTTACAGGAAAACTCCAGTGATTTTCAATCAAACATTGCATAGGTAAATATTGTCTCAAGAAATAATTTAAATTCCCAATAGCAAACACTGATAATGTTGTGATAACACTTTTCTATAGCAGTCAGTGACCCTGACTTAACTCCCTGGAGGCTGCCATTTTGGGCACAGTGAGTTGCCTTTAGTCCAACTTTTGTCCTCTCACTTCTTGCCCACCATGAATAGGCAAAGCAAAAGACTTCCCCTGTACTCCCTATTCATACACACCATTCGATGGGCACACAGTACATGTTGATGGTAAATTTTTAAATGCTTTGTTTAGCTTTAAAAACTTGAAGTAATTTTGCAATTTTTGAAAAACACTAGTTTTCCTTTAAACTTAAAATTTCCACGTTAATCCTGAAGAATCCACTTCAAATGGTAGCACAAGAGTCTGGCAAGTTGGTACTGCAGAGAAAAGGGGTTTAATTGAGATTTGTTTGGAGTCGGGATTCCCTTTTCCCAACATGCTTCTCGCCAATTGGACAGCAGCCATTTGCACTCGTATACCTTTTAAACTTTTTCTTGGAATGTAATTTGATTTGATTGGTTATTTGACACCATTCCTAACTTGTCAAATGGATCTCTTTGCAGGTAGCCAAGGAACAGTGAACAGCAGCTACTACAATAGTGGAAGCCGTGCATCTATGGGTGTGAATGGAATGGGAGGGATGTCTAGCATGTCCAGTATGAGTGGTGGATGGGGAATGTAACGGATTTTGATTGATCACTGACTCTTGGTCATTTTTTTTTAAACCCTTCAGTTTAACAGTTTTTGCAATCCAGCCTTGTGATTTATGTCTACTCTCTTAAGTGAACATTGGTGTCACTCAAAGGACTAAGGTTCAATGTTGAATATAGTCACCTAGGATGATGATACAGTAACTATAACTGTTAAACAATTCCCCCAGCTTTTCTCTAGTTCCTGTAGGATGTGCGTAAGCAGTAAGCGTATTTAGGTTAAAGCAGTTGAATTATGTTAAATGTTGCTCTTAAACATACATTACATTGAACACTGTTGATGCATGTTGAAAAGACATGCTTTTTTGTAAACTCAATAGGAGCTGCGTCTACAATTAAAAGTGAAACATTTGGCATGTTTGTTCTAATTTCATTTGATAAACCTGTAAGGCACGTGAGTTTAAAGCTTTTTTTTTTTTTCCTTTTTTTTTTTTAAGTTGATGGAGACACAATACCATTACTTTAGGATTTTTGGTCTTGGTGTTTGTATGAAATTCTGAGGCCTTGATTTAAGTCTTTCATTGTATTGTGATTTCCTTTTAGGTGTATTGCGCTAAGTGAACCTTGTCAAATAAATCTTCCTTTTAAAAGCTACCCTTTGTCATGTCTGTGCTTTCAGTGTCATATGACCTTTCTGGTGCTTTATTGGGCTACATAGAGAAACTGTTTTGAGACAGGAACAGATAAGGCTGGCCACAACTCAGATCCTCCTGCCTTGCCTCCCTAGTGCTGGGATTAAAGGTGTATACCAACACCATCCTGGGAGAAAAATCTTGAAAAATAAAAACAGAACCAAACAAAATGCAATAACTTGGAGACAGTCTTATTGTGTAGCCCTGGCTGGTCAGGTATCCTCTGACCTCCATTTGTAAGATGGTGTATCCACATAGACAACAAAAATGAGCCTTAATTTAAAAAGTTTAATGCTGGACATGGTGGCATGTGCCTTTAATCCAAGCACTATGTAGGAAGATAGATCCTTTGACCTCCAAAGAAATGTTGTGGCCTTTGCACACAAATTAGTAGAATCTGTCTAGTCTGCCACTCTGGCTCTGTACATCTATACTTGAATGTCCCTCTGTTCAGGCTGGAATTTGGTGGCTTGGGACCTGGATCCATTATGAATAACCCTTTGTGTGTGTATGTATGTATGTATGCATTATGTTACTTGGCGGGTAGAGTTGAAGTTGGGAGAATGAAGGAGAAAAAAACCTGAATACTTGTATGCCAGATGGTGGAATGTGATGTGTGCTTTTTATTGAGCAGCAGCATGGAAATGGAGGTGTTACCCTGCTTCCTCTTTTTGTGCAGACGAAAGACACTCAGGAAGTTAAGTGACTTGACTAATGCCCCGGGAAAGCTGGAGCCCAAGTTGGGTACACTGAAAAAGGTAGACCTAGGGGGTTGTACAGTGGTATGTGAACTTAGTGGGAAAATTGGGTCCTGTTTGAGGTTAGTAAAGGGCTTAGGCAGGGAAAGAGCAGACTCTTGGCCCTTTTCACTGTGCATGCAGTTTAGAACATGGCTTTGGAGCTGCTCAGGTCTGGTTTTAAATCCTGGCTACAGTCCTTGGCTTAGGACTTGGGGTAAGTGGGGGTTGGGTAGAGGCAGATGAGAAACATCCTCTTATCTGTAGAACATGGGCAATAGTTGCTAAAAGCAAAGCACCTGAACCATTACTGACAGAAGTGGGAGGAAGGATAGACAGGCTTGGGTTGGGTTGGGGCAGAGTCTGAACAGTAAACCAGGTCAGGGAATTGGTGAGAAGTGAAGGTGTCAATTGTGAACACGGTATTAGAGGTGTAGAAGGGTGGAAAAGTACAAGAGCTGGAAGACAGGTGGATTGGCTGCCTTGTCTAGCTGAGGTTACGACCTTCAGAGTCTCGGGCCAGCAAGATGTCTCATTAAGTAAAGGTGTTTGCTGCCACGCCTAATCATCCCTGGAAGCCACATGCTGGAGAGAACTCATTCTAGGAGGCTGTAATCTGACCTTGTACCCTGACACTTGTCTGCCTCTGTTCCAAGCCTGCCCAAAGAAGTCTGAGGCCAGTTTCCAGTAAATTGAGATAGTCCAACATGTATAAAATAGGCTTTGTGTGTTATGCTAGACATGGTGGCACATGCTTGCAATTCCAGTACTTGGGAAGTGGAGGCAAAAGGATCAATTCAAGACCAGCCTAGGATGCATTTGAATTTGAGACCAGACCAGGCTATTTGAGACCCTGTCTCAAAACAAAAAGGATCTGTGTTAACTGAGTTTGTCTATTTGCAAGCTGTGTCCTGAGCACTTTGGAGGCAGGCTAAGTGAAGTGTACAGTGGTCATTCTTGGCTCATTTCTACTTGACTACAATGAGGATATAACCCCAGTGCAAGTCAGGCCATTTGTGTAAATACAGACTTTGATGACAGACTTCACCTGGGTGCAACAGCCTGAGTCCAAGCAACACAAGAACACAAAGTCAGCGGGTCCTCCTCCCCAAACATCACTAAGCCCTTCATAGGCAAGCTGGAGACCAGCACTTAGTACAAGACTGAAAAATAAAGGATTTTATTGCGGGGCTAATGGTAGGTGTTGACAGGGGCAGGATGGCAAATGCTGGATTTTGAAGCAGACAAGGCACACCGCCATCCATGAGGTTCAAAGCACTGCAGAAATGAACGTTTCTGTGGGATGTGGGTAGGATTCTATACCTATATGCAAAATAGGTTAATCTTTTGAAAAGTGAAAGTGACAGTACCAAAATCATGAAGTTACACCTGTACCAAAGCCAGGATATAACTGAGGATGCAGACATGTCAGACTAGAGCTGGCTCCATAGAATCCATGGAAAAATGCTCAGCTGTCACTTGGTGCTGTCCTCAGGCTGACAGCCTGGAGAGGATTTCATTCTTCCCTTTGATTCTCTTGGGCCCTTGCAGGTCGCTGGAGGCCCAGAGTTTGGCACTGTACCTGAGGCTTTCCATCACTGCGAGGATGGAGGTCAACAGGTTATGGTCCCTACTGGTGAGGCTGATGGCCTCAGGAGGCTGTGGAGGAGCAGCGTTGCAGGAGCAGGGTGTGACAGCTGTCACACACACGCACTGGCTTAGGGTAGGAGGGCAGGGCAAGCTCGTTGCTGGAGCAGGTATTGCAGAAAATGTGGCCACAGTTTCGGCAGTGGTGCTAGGAGACAGGAAAAAGGTTGTCAAGACAACTGGGGAGATGTAACCCACACCTACCCTGTTTTGGAAGCCTGGCTTCTGTAATGGCCATGTCTTAGACCCAATGAGCTTTTAGACAGTCTCTCCTGATTGGGGCAGACAGTGGTGGCTTATAAACAGGTCAAGAATCTGGAACTTACTGGGGTTATTTATTTTTGAGTGGGGAGATAGGGTCTCACTATGTGTCACCCTGGCTGGCATGAAATTCACTTCTCTGTTTCTGCTTCCTGAATGCTGGGATTAAAGACATGAGTCACCACACCTGGCTGTGTTGAGTCCTTTGGGCATGTGATGGATGCCAAGCTCAGCCTGGATAGCTCTGCTCCTGGCTCTGTAGACAATCAGGCTAGACTGCCCAGAATGTTCATGTGGGGATGGCCAGACTCTGCTGCCTCAGGCTTCAGCAGGTCTTGACAAATGGAAGGGTCATTTCTAATTCTGAACTTAACCAAGTTGGGCACTTTGGCTTTCTCTTTCCCACAGATGAAAGCCACTGATATGAGGGGGTAGGAGAGGTGGTAAGCCCACAGCTGTGGACAAGCTGGTATGGTAGACCTTCCCTGTGTAGTGACCCCTTAAGCTCCCAGGATTATGTACTTCCAAGCCCACTCTCCATCTAACTGGTCTTCGATGAGGCAGCTCAAGGTCCTGCTACCATGGACCAAAAAGAGGGACCCAGGACTTTCTGTTTTCCAGAGCCTGGCAGCAGTCTACATAGGTAGACACAGACCCAGTTCACCCTGTGAGGCTCCGCTGACCTGACCTTACAGGTTCCCATGGGTGGTTCCTGAGTTAGTCCTGCTGCATACAAAGGACTGCCAGTGGTACCCACATGCAGCAGCTCTAAACAAGGCATGCTGCCCCAAGCATGTCAAGTCATTAAAGGACACGGGGCAAGGGCCTCCAGCCAGCCAACAGGCATAGCTGTAGTGCAAAGACAGGCTTTTCCTGAGAACCAGAGAGGAGAATCCAGGGTGGCAGTGGCCCCTACATACCTTTCTTCGGGAAATGGAGAACTCCTTCTCACACTGCTTACAGTATGTTGCTTCATCATCTTTCAACCATGTGTGTCCCTGAGGAAGAAAAAACACGTGAGAACTTCACCTCACGTCAGCCCTTGGTAGGCTGCATCTACTGTCTTGTGACTGCCTGCTCTTGGGAGGCCTTGCTGCTTCAGATGTAGGCCTGGAGGACTAATGGAACCTTTCTCTCGTACTGGCTGTAGGTGGCATTCACGATCTGTACACAGTGCCTGCTCTAAGCATCCTGGCCTCAATCAAAGCTGCTTCACTCAAGATGCTCCCCTGCCCTTTTAAGAAGTTCCATATAGTTGGTCACCACAGTCAAACTGGTACCTGTAACCCCTGGCTGAGCCTGAGACAGGAGAGTAGGCTAACCAGATCCTAGCTAGGCTCAAACAAGTGACACAGACCTCTGCAGAGACAGTGTGTGGGGACATGGACCTCTTTAGAGACAGTGTGTGGGGACATGGACCTCTGCAGAGACAGTGTGTGGTGACATGGACCTCTGCAGACAGTGTGTAGGGGAGGGTGCCTTTAGGTTAAGTGAGGCTCTTCTGCACACCCAGCCCTACATCCTTAAACGCCTCTGGGAGACAGCTTGGCTACATTACGTAAGAGAAACTGGAGGCTATGGAAGAGGATGCTTTGCAAGTTTTTACCAGGAAATTTTGATCTGAGATATATTAAGCCTTAGGAATCTGTAGTGATCAGAGGGGTCAAGGGCCCCTTTACTGTGTCAGAGAAGCAGGCTGCTGGGGCTACCTAAGGCACCCTTATTCTAGAAAGCCCCTCTGGAGCTATCTGCTGCCACTGTTAGGCAAATACTGCATGGCAAGACATAGACACCTGCAGCTCACAACAATTATAATCCAGGGCCTTCATTAAAGAGCAGGAGCAGCCAGGGGTCCATACACCTGCTGGCCTAGAGGTAGCTGCGCAGCCTTGGTCTCCCACCGTGAAGGAGCCCCTTTCTGCCTTTCAGCATCTGCTCTGCTGTGGCAACCGCGGAGGCAGCCCCTACCTGGCATCCTGTGTGCATGCAGAACAGAGAGCCCACTGCCTGCTAACTGCAGCCAATGGGCATAGTGCCTACCAAGAGCTTGGGCTTAGAGGAACTGCCACCAGGAGAGTTAGCCTCCAGCTCACACCTGCCCACCTGCAGCAATGGCATCTCAGACATGCCTGTGGCCACCATTGTGAGCAGTCTTTATTTTACTTTGTGGCTATCTCACTATGTAACCCTGGCTGGCCCGGAGCTCGCTATGTAGACTAGGCTAGCCCTGAAATCAGAGATTTGAGGGTCTTTGCCTGGGATTACACCCCAATCAGCTGTAAGTGATTTTTGCTAACTATAAGTAATTTTAATCTAATACCTTCAGCGCCTTATTTACTTCCTTTATGTCTTCCATCTTTAGTTTGGACCTGCAAAAAAAAAAAAAAAGACAATTTTTTAAAGTAGTGACAGATTGTGACATAGTTAAGTAGTGACTATGGCTGTGTAGGAAGAAGACAAAACAGAGATTCTCTTTATTTTCTTCTCTTTCTGAGACAGGGTTTCCCTGACTGTCCTGTAACTCACTCTGTAGATCAGGCTGGACTGGAATCACAGAGACCTGCCTTCCTCTGCCTCCCAAGTGCTGGGATTATAGGTGTGCACCACCAGGTAAAATGGGTTCTTCTAAAATGCTTCTCCATTTTGTTGTGACCTGAGCTATATTACACACACACACACACACACACACACACAGGCTCATGTGTCTGCTAAGCCTGGGACTATATGGCCAAAGGGCAGACTTGCAAGCCCACAGGGTCAAAAAGGACTGAAGTGGCTGCCCACTATTTAAGAATGGTGAACGAGCTGGGCTGTGGATGTGTACGTCTATCAGCTTTTACCTCCCAAAATGCTGGGAGTAACAGTGTTCACCAACATGCCTGGCAATAGGCCCTGCCCCTTTTAGGAACAGGGTCTGTCTATGGTTCTGTATTAGAACTCACTATATAGACAGGGTTATCCTTGAACTCCCAGCAATCTGTTTGCCTCTGCCTCCTGAGTGCCAGAGTAAAGGTGTGCACCACCACACCTGGGGCCTTAAAAGCTGATTAGTCTAAATACTTTAAATGGATAGGTGTCAAATCATAGGTTTCCGAAAGACAGGCTGAATTAAGTCAGAGCTTACAAAACAGCATCAGAACAGTCAGAAACCATGCCTTCATTAGTGACCAGCAGGTGTGACTGGCAGGTAGCCCCTTACCTGTCCAGCTGCACAAAAAGGCCAGCAGACTGGTTGGACCAGAGGCTGTCCTGGTGGACAGGCCTTGGGAGACAAGGTCAAGATGGCAGCTTGTCCACACAGATCTCTAGGAAACAACTTGGGAAGTGTCTACAAGTTCCCAAGATACAGAAACTGCAAAAGTTCCTATAGATGGTGGCAGGGCCTGAGAATAAGGCATTTCCTCCCTAGAAAACAGCATCAAGCCGGGAGTTGGTGGCGCACACCTTTCTTTAATCCCAGTACTCGGCAGGCAGAGGCAGGCGGATCTCTGTGAGTTGGAGGTCAGCCTGTTCTACAAGAGCTAGTTCCAGGACAGCCTCCAAAGCCACAGAGAAACCCTGTCTGGAAAAAAAAAAAAAAAGCATTAAAACATTCAGTCACTGTGGCCTTTATCAATGACCAGCAGGTGGCCCCTTCCCTGTAGAGCAGAAAAACAGAAAAAGTTTAGCCAACTTATTGGACTAGAAGCTGTCCCAGCATGGGCTAGCAGGAAGGGGAGATGATGGGGGAGGGGAGTGGCTACTTGGGCAATCCTGTCTGGGTTGCATGTGTGGCTTACTCTGCCACAGCCACACAGCTTGGCTCTGAAGGACATGGTGACTGAGCATCTCCAGATACGATTCCTAAGCTAGATCAGGTGGTAGTGCTGAGGTATCTCCAAAGTCAGAAAACTACTGACATCTTTGAGGATCACCGAATCTGACTCTGCTTTGGGTCCCTCCAGTGTGGGGACAGGAAGAAGGGAGTCCCAGGTATAAACTTCTGATGAGTGCTGCTGGGCTGCCCAAGGATTGACCTGTGCTTAGCATGGGGACAGACACTTGGTCTTGTGTTTGCTCAGGGAGATCAGGTTGGGGTGGGGAGGAGGGCAGAACATGGCAAGAAGCAGGTCAGGAGAGAGCAGAGTGGGGCGTGTAGAGAGGGTTAGGGCGCAGGGTAGGATATTGCTCTGTGCATCTCTAGAACGAAACTGGGAGAGAACATAATGAGTAGCCTTTGTTTGCATCTGAAAGAGGCCGAAGTCAGAACATTCATCTTTCTTAGTAACAGGAGACCTTCCATTAGCCATGACTGTGCATGCTGTGATCCCGGTACGGAGGCTGTGGAAGGACTCCAAGTTCAAGGCCAGACTGAGATACAGAGTAAGACCGTCTCAAGTCAATCTCTGGTATCACACTCATAGAACAAGTAGGAGACCTTGGGGCTGGAGAGATAGATACTCAGTAGCTAAGAGCAGTCCCTGCTTTTCTAGGGGACCTCAGTTGCCAGCATCCATGTATGCCTCACAATTGCCTGTAACTCCAGCTCCAGGAAACCCAATGCCTTTGGGCTTTGAGGGCATCAGCACTTATGTGAACATACCCTCTACCCCACACACTTAAAAATAATAAAAATAGGCCAGCCTGGTATACAAAGGGAGTTCCAGGACAGATTCCAAAGCTATGCAGAGAAACCCTGTCTTCAAAAACCAACCAAACAAATAAATAAAAAAATTATTTAAAAAACAAAATAGAAGACCTTCCAACTTTCCAGACAAAACAAAAGGTTATGTACATCCTCATACTTCTTGAATTTTCCTGGCTTTCTCTACTTTGGTCCCATCTCTAAACCTCTTCTGTACATGTATTCTGGCTGTTACTGGTCACAGCTCCCCAATGTTCTGGTCATGGGTGGAGCAAGAGGAACCTTCTTCTCATAGCCTTGCCAGGTGTCAGAGCCACCAGTGTCTGGCCACAGGAGAGAAGACTTCTCAAAGGGCTAGGAGTCATACAGCTGCCCCTAAGGCTTGACTTCCTGGGAGGCCCTTGAGGAACAGCTGAGAGGGTTCCCAGCTGGCCCTTCTAGCACCAGACCTGGAAGATGCACAGATTCAGCCTTGCATGGGGGTGGCTCTTACTGGCTGAGGTGCAGTCCCATTTCCTGGAGGGCTTGTTCCTGCTCCTCACAGACCTTCTGTAACTCCGCCTTCTCATCTTGGAGCTCCCGTAGCTCCTGAAACAGACAAGCCACATGTCACACACAACTACATTTTCCTTTTTTAAATGTTTAGTAACCAGTGTCGTCAGGAGATCAGAATGTCTTGCAGAAGGAAAGAATAGTTTTGTTGCATGAATATCCAAGAGAGGGTTCTCTTGTGGATAACTTTATGCCAGCTATGGGCAGATGATATGGTGAGTCTGAGATCAGCCTGGACTACAGGAGACCCTCTCAAACAACAACTACAAGTGGCTCTTGGCTGGATACAAGGATACAGGACAGGGAAGAGATACATTCAGGACAATTAAGAACAATTATCTAAACCAGGTAGTGGTGGCACAATCCTTTAATCCCAGCACTAGGGAGGTAGAGGAGGCCAGATCTCTGTGAGTTCAAGGCCAGTCTGGTCTACAAAGCTACACAGAGAAACTTTGTCTCGAAAAAAAAAAAAAAAAAAAAGAATAATTACCTGGGTTGGCCATGGTGGCAAACACTTTTAATCCCAGCACTTGGGAGGCAGAGGCAGGCAGATCTCTGAGTTCAAGGTCAGTCTGGTCTATAGTCCTAGTTCCAAGCCAGCCAGAGCTACACAAAGAAACCTTGTTTCTAAAAACCAACCCCCCCCCCAAAAAAAAACCCAACAACAACAACAAAAACCAAAAAAGAAAAAAGAAAAAAAAAGGGCTGGGTGGGAGGGGAGACACAACCAGTTATGCTGTTCCTGGTGGCATACCCTTCACACCTTTAATCCTAGTACGTGGGACACAGAGGCAGGTGGATCTCTGGGAGATCTAGGCAAGCCTGGTCTACATAGTGAGGCCCTGTCTATATAGTACCTGTCTTAAAATTAAAAACCAGTTATCCCAATGGACAAGTAAAGTTTTGTCTGTCTACTAAAGGTTGGTTTTAAAAACACAGTAATCTGGGCTGGATATGGTAGTGCACATGTATGATCTTATCTCTTGGGAGGTGAAGACAGTATTAGGAGCTCAATGTGTTCCTCTACTACACTCCGAGTTCAAGATCAGCCTGGGCTACAAGAGATCCTATCACAAAACGAAACACAGATCACTCCCCTTCCACAGCTATCTGCAAAGTATACAGACTTCTGGGGACAGAGAGGACTCTGGGAAGAAGTACGGTGGAGATACACAGAGGAAACGGGAGATGTGGGACAGAAGAGAGGTAATGCCACGTGGAGAACACAGATTAATATAAATGGGTTCATTTAAGTCCTAAGAGCTAGCAGAGACAAACCTGAGCAAGAGGCTAATTAATAAGAAGTTTCATAATTAATAAGAAGTTTCTGTGTCATTATTTGTGAGATGATGGCCAACAAAAAAGCTTGCTACAGTGTGTAGCATTCAAATGTCGACTGAAGTATTTTGAGGTAGGTATGCTCAATGGCAGAGGCATTTTCTAGAACCTTTCATGCCCGGTTTCCTCCCCTCCCCTTTCTGAGGCTGGTGTGGCTCTTGAGCCCCTTCCTTCCCTTGAGGAGCCTCTGAGCCCATGTTGTACAGTGGCATCCGTTACTACGTTGACAGCTGCCTTGTCACAGGGTGTGCTGAGGGTAGTGCACATTCGGCTTTGCTGCCCAGGTGGGGTCAGTAGATCTGGGAGCCCAATGCTCAGGGTGCATGGAGGTATGCAGGAAATCAGCCCAGCAGAATGCTGTCAGTAGAGTTTCCTGAGAGGTCTGCTTCTACTACAAGAAAGTCACTAGGTCAACAACCCAGTTCACTTGCTCTAGGATCCAGGACGTTCCTGAAAGTGGCATTGGGGACTCCAGAAAACTGAAGTAATGGCAGAAGGAAATGGAGCAGGGGATGGTTGTAGGGTCTGGTCCTGTCTGCCTCCTGGGATGACTTGAGCTTTGGGAGGAACGGCCAGCCAACCTCTGGGGATGTCATGTGCATGGGCTTTTTCAGAAAATGCTGACTGGTTCCTCATAGTTTCTTTAGACAGGAGCCCAGCACCTGCTTGCTGTGGAATATTCCTTTACCAGGTGTGGATATATGTCTCTGTGATTGGTTTAATAAAGAAGCTGACTAACCAATAGCTGAACAGAATAGGGGTAGGCAGGAGAACCAAACTAGGAGGATGCTGGGAGGACGGGCAGACTCTGGAGTTGCTAGTCAGACACAGAGGGCGCAGGAGATGAATGTGCCATGTTAACAAATGTATCACCATGTGGCAGAGCACAAATAATAACCCTGAGCTATTGGTGGGGCATCTATAATATAAGCCGTAGTGTGTTTATTTGATAGTGGCTGCAGAAGAGTAAAACTCTGCCTACACCAGCTTGGCACACAGACGGCCTGTAAGGGGCACCCCCTCTGCCCCCGAGGATGCGGATGGTTGGCTGGCTCTCCCCTAGGCCTCTGCTTCTCTATCTGCTCCTCCCAGCTCCTTCCTGCCTTTTCTCACGCTCAGGCCCATCTGGCTAACTCCATGTCTTACCACTTGCCTTTGTTATCTCCTCTTGGGGAAGCTGCCCTGTGGAGGTGGGTGGGAACAGCGTTGCAGACCCCGGATCCCGCAGAGGCAGAGGCACTGGAGGGAGGGGCCTCACAGGGCTTGGGGAGAACCCCCTAGGCCATCTTACCTTCTTCAGTCCTTCCACTTGCTGCAGCTCTGTCTGGAGCAGACAGGAGGTGTCTCTCTCATGTTGTAATTCTCTCTGGAGAGCTTGTCTTTGTTCTTTTTCTGATTTCAGTTCTTTCTCTAGACCTGAGCTGTTGTTTCCCCAAAAGTGACTAGAGTTAGTTTCAGTGGGAGGTTTCTATGGAAGACCCACAATCTCTCATACATCAAACCGTCTGAATGGCCACATAAACATCAAAACCCTTGCATGGGGTTAAACCAGGCCTCCTCCTACAGGGTCACCTGTGGAAGACTAGGAGCTGCAGGCACACCAATGGGAGGAAAGCACTGAGGACTATACAAGGACCCGAGCAGCAAAAAGCTCAGTGTCTCTGACTTCCTACAGCCCATAGTCAGCAGACAGGAAGACACCAAAGAGCGGGGAGAGAGTGACCAAGGTCAGGGCTGAGTTTGGCTGACTCCGACTCATCTTTCACCAGCTGAGGAGGCCAGGGACACAGGTGGCCCTAGGAGCCTACCTGCTCAGTTATTACGCAGTACACACTCTCATGCTAACCTAGGTGGGGGACTGGCTATTGCCTACTCTTCTTGCAGACAAGAAGAAAGGTAGGAAGTCACTTCCTCGTCCTCCCAAGCTGACCTCTCTGCAGGTGCCCAGCTCCTTACCATTGGTCACGCAGCTGGGACAGCTGTAGCTGTAGGGCACTGACCCTCCCGCTGAGCTCCTGCTGCAGCTTGTGGCTCCGGTCTTCTGCCCCCTGTCTGGCCCTTTCTGCCTGCTGCAACCTGGAGGCAATGCCAAGCACATTGTCTTTGTAAGCAAAGGTTTACCTCTCACACCGAAAGCTTTGGCTCGAGCTGCTTCCCTCTCTCCATACTTTCTTTTGTTCTTCTTTTTTTAAATTTTGTTTTTGTTTTTCAAGACAGGGTTTCTCTGTAGCTTTGGACCCAGCCCTGGAACTTGCTCTGTAGACCAGGCTGGCCTTGAACTCATAGAGATCTGCCTGCCTCTGCCTTCAGAGTGCTGGGATCAAAGGTGTGCACCACCATCACCCAGATTCTTTTGTTTTTTTGAGATAGGGTCTTGCTCTGTAGCTTAGGCAGTCCTTGAACTTGCTACCTAGTTCAGAGCCTGCAGAGACCAGAAGATCTCATGGAGTCAGACTTAGAGGTCATTGTGAGCACCCAATGTAGATGCTGGGAACTGAACTTGAGTCCTCTCTAAGAAGAGTAAGTGCTCTTAAGTGCTGAGCCATCTCTCCAGCCCCTGGAACTATATTCTGATCCACTGCTGAGCTGATATTTGTATGTGACAGTAGCAATCCACTCTGTCTAGTTACAAAGCCTGAGAGGACATTCTGACGCAGCGGCCAAAAACCTGACTGACTAAATAGCGCTTAGGCCAGGCTGGGTGGTGCACCTAGGTTTTTCCTTAGACAGAGGGTGGGTCAAGGAATGACTATCACCTCAATTTGGCTGTACTTCTCAGAGGGACTCTGTGGTTCTATCTAGATCCTAGTAGGCCCAGAATCTTCTAGAGATTGCTGTGTACCAGGGAAGTGATTACCTTTCTTCCATTTGTTTCATGCTAGACATCACTTGATTGGTTTTTCCTTCAAAAGATGTGATGGCTTCATTCTTCTGCTGTAAACTGTTCTCTGCATTCTATGAAAGCAAGAAGAGGGATCCATAAGATGCCCAGCTTCCTCCACATCTCTGCACTACAAACAGGACTCCCTCATTGTGGATATGGACTTTGCAACAACACTCTTAAGAGTATTTCATTAATTGCTGTTCCTCCCTAGAGTTCTGGAAGACAAACTAGGTCAAGGCTCCACCTCTGCCAGGGGAAGAAGAGCAAGGAGGAGGCACTGGGGTCTGCTTGCTGCAGTCAGTGTGGACTCTGCCCCTGAGCATCCTCAGGGCCTGTGCACACTTGCTAGCTCAGTTCTCAAGGAGGGCATTGACATCGTCAGTTTCCTACAGAGAGGGAGGCTCAGAAGAGAAGAGACTGGCTGAGGGTTGAAGAGCCAGTCAGGGCAGGACTGTTCCACGGCCCCGTCTGTGAGACTCACTCTGTCTCAATTTTAATCAGAACAGGTACCCAGGAAGCTGGAGGGAGCACTCTGTAGTCACAAGAGATGCTACTGCAGAAGGAAGTCGGGATGAGTTCCTAAGGAGCATAGACTGCATTTCCTGATTGAAGCCTACACTCAGGAAGGAACTGATGAAACAGAACAGCATGCTGAGTGTCATTCCGCTTAAAGAAAAAAATAACTGGGAGTTATGAAATGCTTAGACCTGGAAGGCCACAGCACCATGATGCTCACTGCAGTGACATGAAGCCATATCACAATGCACACATGAAGAAAGGTACCTGAAACATGACATGCCCTGGTTCTAAGGCATCTGATCTCTAAGATGCTACATGTGCTTCCCTGGTGATGAAATACTGTGGCCAAGATTTGAGGGACACAAAACTGTTTTCTTTTTGGCTGGTGCTGAAGATTACACAAGTATTTTGTCCCTGAGCTGTCTGTACCCTCAGGTCCTCTCTTAATCTTTCTCCTCTCTCTATCCTTCCCCCTTCCCTCTCTCTCTGCATGTGCGTGTGTGTGTGTGCATGTGTGCGTGTGTGCGTGTGTGTGTGCGTGTGTGTGTGTGTGTGTGTGTGTGTGTGTGTGTGTTTGAGACAAGGTTTTCCTATGTGGCCTAGCCTGGCTTTGACCAGTCTGCAATCCCCTTGTCCCATTCTTAGGAATGCTAGGATTAAGTGATGGATCACAGGTATGTACCAGCTTTCTTGTGATGGAACCCAGGGCCTCTTGCATGCCAGGCAAGTGCTCTACTACTCAGTTCTCTTGTGTTAATTTTCAACTTTAAAAAATTCTATGAAAGCAGGTGTGGTGGCACATGCCTTTAATCCCAGCATTTGAGAGGCAGAGAGGCAGGCAGAGCTGAGTTTCTTTTTTTTTCTTTCCCCAAGACAGGGTTTCTTTGTGTAATAGCTCTGGCTGTCCTGAAACTCCCTCTGTAGACCAGGATGGACTCCAACTCACAGAGATCCACCTGCCTGACTCCCAAAGGCTGGGATTAAAGGCATGCACTACCACCGCCTGGCGATCAATGTGACAAATTCCAGGACAGTCAGAGCTAATAGAGACACCCTGGCTCAAAAGCAAGCAAACAAACAAACCCCAACAAAACAACAACGATAAAACCCCTAAAGAGAAAAACTCCGTGAACTAAGAGAAAGTGAATGAGCTACAGAGGAAATGCAGAGAAGGCTGAGCATAATAAAGGCAAGGGTAAAAGACACCAGTGTGTGTGGGTGGTTCCCACATAATCAACCTTGATGCCCCTTGGGTATTCTACAATAAAATTTAAGTCTTGCTAGCACCCTGCAGAGTTAGTGCAGATGCTACAGGTGAAATGCTTGCCACAAGACTGCCCACTCTCCTCACCCCAGTGGAAGTCCCATGGTTGCCACCTGCCCGTTTCTCTGTTGGTCCTGTTTAATCAATAGAGGTGAGAATGTGGACAGACAAGAGGGTCAGGACAGGAGTGCTATTCTCCAAACAAAGGCTGCTCATGGGGTGGCCCTGTCAAAACTGATGTGACAAGCTGGAAAGCTGGTGGCCCTTGCCAACCATGCAGAGCAGTCAGTAAAACTCAGTTGCCCAAACTTGGAAGATAGTACCAATACTGTTGCCACTCCAGGAGAGGTGGCTGGGGAAAAACAGAATGCCAGTAGCTATCAAGTGGTCCTTGCTGCTTGAGCAAACTTCTGGAAGAAAAGAGTCCAGGCCCAACCCTGCTAGCTTGCAAAGAGATGCACAGCAAGAGTCCGGAGGAAGGTGCTGAAGGAGTCAACTGCTCTGGACCATTCGACATGTAAGACTAAACACTAGGCTGGGCATGGTGGCACATACCTGTAATCCCAGCATTTGGAAGACAGAGGCAAGCCTGGTCTACATAGTAAGTTCCAGGATAGCCAGGTATACATAGTGAGACCCTGTCTCAAAAAACAAGACAAAACGAAAGACTAAACACTGGGCCATAAAGGACCTGTACATCAGCTCATGCAGGCTGGAGGTATGGATTAGTGGCAGAGCATCTGCCTAGCATGCATGCAGCCCCAGTTAGTGAAAATCAGACTCAAGTCTCATCTATATAAGTCTAGGATTTTAGATGAGCTGTCATTAACAAAACAGAGAGACAAGGACACACACTCAGACTAAGACCCTGACACAGTCATGCAAAGTAGTGACAGAAGTGCATTCACTGACCTTGGGTCCCTGATAAACACATGGAGGGAAATAAGGAGACCAGAGCCCGTGACAGAGGTGACAGTACTGTCAAAGAGCCAAGAATCTGCTATGAAAAATACTTATGACTACGGTTCCTACTATAAATGCCAGGCTGGCTAACTGACACCAGTAAGAGGCTGGCCACCAAAGCTGTTTATCTTCTAGAAGGACACACTCCCCAAAGTCCTTCAGAATGTGGCCAGGGACGGTGGTGGCACTTGGGTGACACAAAAGTCTTTCAGAAGACAGAAACAAAGTCCACTGTTAGGGGCTGTTGTCTTAGTTCCTACTCAGACAGTGTGCTTACTTGTTTTCCAAGTTGGTACTCTATATTTCTTTTTTCTACCCCAGCTTCACAGGTTGTGATGGACCAATGTGAGAGGGACAGTTGGCTTCCAGCTCATAGGTCATTTGGACTGCTGGAGAATTAACTGCCATCAGCCAGGGGCTGTGGCCTCTGAGGAGGTTGCAGGGTCTGGATGGAACCTCCCAGCAGCAATCTTGGGGCTAACTATAGACAATTACATGCCCACCAAGAAATACTCTCTCTTTTATCTGGCTACAGCCCCGAAAAGATGGAGTTCCCAGGACCCTGCAGCTATGATGACCAGCCCTTCCCCATGGAGCTGACCAGAGAGACAATGTGTACAAACTCCATCTCACTTTGAGACAAGAAGTGTCTGGCTTGCTCTAGAGGCTCCTTTTCCTCTTCCTGCTCAGAGGCAGGACTAGTGCCCTGCAAAGTTGTGATCCCTCTGTCTGGGTCTCTGAGTGACTGCCAAGAACAAGTCAGCTGGTCTGCAAGGCTTACTGGGTTACAGATAAACTTCCATGCTTCAGAGGCATTCTAGTAGATGATTAGAGCAGTCTCCCTAACACACACTATTATGTCTCTATATGGGCCAAAACCTGAAAAAAAATGTAAAAACTTGCTCTTGTAGACCAGGCTGGTCTCTAACTCACAGAGATCTGCCTGACTCTGCCTCCTGAGTGCTGGGATTAAAAGCATGTGCCACCACAGCCTGGCTTGTAAAATTTTTTTTGTTGTTTTTTTGAGACAGTGGTTTTTCAGTAGCCGTGGAGCCTGTCCTAGAACTTTCTCTGTAGACCAGGCTGTCCTTGAACTTACTGAGATCCGCCTGGCTTTGCCTCCTGAGTACTGGGATTAAAGGAACGTGCCACCATTGCCCAGCTCCGTAAAAACTTAAAACAGATGGTTTGACAAGAAGTCTGGTCCCACATTGGTAAGTTCACAAATGCTCTAAGGAATCTGATGTGTCTGGCTTCCTCAGACACATGTGTGTATATACTCACAAATTGATAAATGTATACACATAAATAAAACTAAACCTTTAAAAATAAATACTTGCCGGGCGTTGGTGGCACACGCCTTTAATCCCAGCACTCGGGAGGCAGAGGCAGGCGGATCTCTGTGAGTTCGAGGCCAGCCTGGTCTACAGAGCGAGTGCCAGGACAGCCTCCAAAACTATACAGAGAAACCCTGTCTCGAAAAAAACCAAAAAAAAAAAAAAATACTTGTAGCAGGTATGGCAGTGCACGCCTTTAATACCCCCATTCAGAAGGCAGAGATGGGCAGAACTCTGAATTTGAGGTTAGCCTGGTCTACGTAGTGAGTTCCAGGCCAAATGGGGCTACACACTGAGACCCTGTTTCAAGCAAACAAATACCAGAGCTCTAATACCTGAGGGCTGAGGACCAGGCTTGTCTGCATATTCTCCAGGAAGGAAGACAGAACTGAAAGGCAACTATGGAGGACAGTGGTACAGACGTGAGGCCAGTGCTCACCTGAACTTTGTGAAACATCTGCAAGTTAATCGCTTTGACTTCCTCCAGCTGTTGGCGGAGGGCCACCAGTGTGTCCTGCTTCTCATGGGTGTCCTTCTCCAGTAATTTCATGGCGATTTCCATCTCAGTCTTCATTCCAATCTGTAACTCCAGTTCCTTCTCTAGATCCTTTAAAGACATGAACAAGGAGAGTCTACTGAGGAAGACGCAGAATCATAGTTAATGGAGGACAGGGCAGGCTTGCAAGATGGGATTACTTACATTCATCCTCTCCTCCCTGCCTTCTTTCCTCTGTTCTTCTCAACTTCCCTTTCCTTTCTCCCCTCTTCTTCCCTCTTCTTAGTTTTGGAGAGAGTTTAACTGTGTGACCTAGGCTGGCCTTTAATTCATAATCCTTCTGCCTCAGCTCCCACGTTGCTGGGAGTATAGGAGCCCCACACTGGCTCTGTATCAAGTCAACAGAACCGACTTGGCAACATGAGCCCAGAGTTCTAGAAGCCAGGTTGCCCCCAAAAGGGAAGCAGAACCCAGGGGCTACAGGAATGCTTGGCTTGTGATCCAGGAGACCTGATGGAGTAAGACTACAGTTTCTGAATACTTTGGAGTTTACTACCACTCTGAAATGGTTCTTTCTGTCTTTGGTACCTCAAGGGCACAGTACCCCCCATTCATTCCAGGAAGCCAAGACCAGAAAGCACACAGGAGAACCAGGTTTGAAAAGGAACTGTGGCTACCAATGCAGAGAGCGAAATAAGTGGCCAGTGCCTGTGGCTGAGAGGACAGGCCAGTCTATAACAACCTCTAGGGAAGACTCACACAATGGAAAAAACACAAACGATGACACAGAACTACCATGTAAGCAGGAGCTAGAAAGGCCAATGTCTGGCTTCCCATGAGTGCCAGCAGGTGTAAGCATGTATGCAGAGTGCAGACAGGGTCATGGAGAGCGAGGCCGCAGACAGACTCCCTCAGGGCGCTGGGTCCCACTCACCAGTCGCACTTTTTTCTCCTCCTTCAGCTGCTTCCACACATCGCTGTACATTTCGTCCAGGCCCTGCCGGGTCTGCTTGTAAGTCTCCAGCTCAACTTTGGTGTCCTGTTTTGTTATCTGAATCACACAAGAACACCAAGAATGACTCACTCTTGGAAAGTAAACTACCTACATATCAAAATAAGTTACAATACTAAAAAAAAAAAACAATTTTCTACTATTTTATTTATTGCTTTTTTTTTTTTGACAAAGGATTTTCTATATAGGTTTGGCTGTCCTGGAACTCATTCTGAGACTAGGCTGGCCTGGAACTCACAGGATCCTCCTGTCTCTGCCTCCTGAATGCTGGGATGAAAGCATGTGCCACCGCCACCTGACATAATTTTCGACATTTTAAACATGATGAACCTTGAGCCAGGTGCACATGATGCCTTTTAAAAATATAACAACCTGACAGATGAAGGAAGACAGCAGGCCAATAGATCTGTGTATGACCAAGTAACAGGGTCTCACTATGTACCTTGGGAGGACTTGAACTTGTGATCCTCCTGCTTCTGCCTCCCAAGTGTTGGGATCACAGGTGTGTGGATAACACAATAGATTTTTACAACAAGTTAGGCTGTGTAATGGTTTAGTTAATTTTCTTTACAATAGGACAAGAATTCCTGGTGGGAAAGGCTATCATTCAGTCCATCACATGGTGTTTGCTGCCATCTTTAGCTAGCACTGGGAGACTTGTGGTGACTCTGACCTGATCTCTACCGTTGAGCCACCAGGTGAGACAGAACTGCAACCTGGCATCTCACAGACTGCCAGGTGCACCTGTGGGGAAGGAAGAACAAAGTGCTAAGGGAGTATGGGAGAAGGAAGGCCGTGCCCAGCCATGGAACCAGGGACAGAATGATAGCCCACTCAGCGCTGAGCCAACGCTAAAAGAACAAACTGGAACTCTGGAGTTTCAGGAGTCTGAAGTGATGCAGGTGGCCTGGGAGTGACATGGGTAGGGGCAGCAGCAAGAGGTACTGATTTCAAATAAGACACCCTTTGTACATTCTGGAGACTGGGACAGAGTTAAGTCACAGCTGGCCTTGCTATCTGCAGGCTCAGCACCAGCGCTGTCACTGACCATGGAGTGGGAACAGTGAAGAAAACCATTCTACACACAACAGACTCAGACTTTGCTAGGCAAGCCAGGGCGGTCACTGTTTCCACAGGTCACTTTAAAGCATCCTGAAGGACACGTGACTGTGATGTCATTTCATACGAGAGACTCAGTACTGTAGGGGGGTTCTGAAGTCTTTCCTCCATGATGCCAAGGGCAGCTACAGCTTGAGACTAACGGTGTGTGTGTGTGTGTGTGTGTGTGTGTGTGTGTGTGAACCCTGCCCACCTGTTAGGTCACCCCTCACCTCCACACTCTTTTCACTTCTTTCACGAATCAACTCGTTCTGTTCTCTCAGCTGCTTCTGTTCTTCTTGCAGGGAACAAATTCGGTCTGTTGCAGCTGAAAGCTGATTAAGAAAGGTTTAAAAAAAATTTTAACATCAAACTTAATCCTTCTGTCCAAGATTAAGAGCTGACATTTACTTAGATCTACACAATTTACAATGCATCTTAATGTTTGATGTTTTACTCCTTACTTTGAACAGGAAATACAAACTTCCAAATATATCTATGTAGTAAAATCTCTGTCACATACTGTTTTTTCTCCATATTGTAAAATCATTTATTTGATGTGTCATGTGAGTGATAAATTATGTATGTACACACACACACACACACACACAGAAAGAGAGAAAAAAAATTAGAGTTCAAACAGATACTACTATAGCAGCACCAAATAGGAATCTGTTACTATTCAAACATTTAGAGTAGTTTTGTCTTATTTATTTATTTATTTATTTATTTATTTATTTATTTATTTATTATTTATTAATTCAAGACAGGGTTTCTCTGTGTAGCTCTGTAGACCAGGCTGGCCTCAAACTCATAGGGATCCACCTGCCTCTGCCTCAGGAGTGCTGGAATTAAAGGCGTGCGCCACCAATGCCCAGTTTATGTTTTTTTTCAAGACAGGGTTTCTCTGTGTAGCAGCTTTGGCTGTCCTGGAACTAGCTACATAGACCAGGCTGGCTTCAAATTCATGGGAATCTGCCTGCCTCTGCCTCACATTAAAGGCATATGCCACCACTGCCCAGTGGCTAGAATAGCTTTTAATGACGTGAGAAGATACTTATACCAATAGAGGGAAAGTTGTATGGTATTCTCTCATCTGTAATTAAAAAAAAATCAACAGGACAAAATTTGTAAAATAAAGACTATAAATGGCAGGCAAAAGGATGATGGGTCTTTTTTGTTTTCTGTTTGTTTTGATCTATCACTCTTCTCAGGGACGCTTTGTTTCTTGAGACAGGGTCTCACTGTATAGCTGTTGGCTGTCCTGGAACTCACAAAGATATGCCTGCTTCTGCCTCCCGATTAAAACTGTGTGCTACTGCCTGGCGTTGGTGGCGCACGCCTTTAATCCCAGCATTCGGGAGGCAGAGGCAGGCGGATCTCTGTGAGTTTGAGGCCAGGCTGGACTGATAGCCTCCAAAACAATACAGAGAAACCTTGTCTCGTAAAACCAAAACCAAAACAAAAACAAAAACAAAACTGTGCTACCACACCCAACCTGTCTGCTGTTGTTGCGTGTGTTTGTACATGCCCACTTGCCTGTACATGCGCATGTGAACACCAGAAGCTGACAGTGGGGTCTTCTCCATTGCTCCACCTTATTTTTTGAGGCAGGATCTCTCACTGAATCTGGAGTATGCGATTCTGGCTAGGCTTGCTGACCCAGCACGGCCCTCAATCTGCCTGTTTCTGCTTCCCAGCATGGGGGTTACAGACTCGTGCTGTCCTGCCAGGCTTTGACTCAGGTGCTGGAGACGCCAACTCAGTGCCTCATGCTCGTGGAGCAAGTATTTTACTATTGAGCCATCCCCCTGATTCCCGTTTTCAGTTTCTTAGTAAGTGCAAATATATTTTATTGTTAAGGGAGATTAAAGATTTTGGAGGACAGAATCAAACTTAAATCATCAGAAACGGGCCCCAGAGGAACCCTTCCTCTCCTGAATTGTGTCATCATGGCTTAAGGGAAGGAAAATTGGATTTGTTCAAGACTGTCTGGCAAGTGGATATCACGGGAGGCAAAGGGATGAGACAACGCAGAAGCCAGACCCCTCCTTATCCCGGCTCTAGGCTCCAGCCTGCAGAGGAGGAGGGAGACTGGGGGAGGGACAGAAGCCAATCATCTGTCCATCTTTCCTCAGTGAGGGATCTTAAGGCACTGAACTGTCCTCTAAAATCCTTCAGCGTTCTCAGACCCCAGGCTAAAGCTTCTAAATAGCAGCTGTGCCTAAGAAAGACCTCTAAGGCTCTGAAGGTGTTAGCTGTCAAAAGGGGAGAAGCAGGCCACAGTCCCCAGCTCCTTCTCACCTCTGAAGCAGATTCTCTAGAGGACATGTTTGTTTGTTTTGTTTTTCCAGACAGGGTTTCTCTGTGGAGCCCTGGCTGTCCTGGAACTCCCTCTGTAGACCAGGCTGGCCTTGAACTCAGAGATCTGCCTGCCTCTGCCTCCTGAGAGCTGGGATAAAGGCGTGCACCATGACCTGCTCTAAAGGACATCTTTTCCTGCAGTTATATGCTGAGTTATATGCTGAAGGAAGCACCCAACCACTGAGTTCCAGGAGCAGTGCTGGGAGCCATGCTTTTGTTCTAAAGCCAACCAAGTCTCCAGCCCCTCTCCCAGTGTCGCTTCACGGGTATTTATACCACAGTAAACTGACTTAATCACTACAACAAAATTAGAAAATCTATGTATCGCCCAACTTTGAGACATTAAAAAGAGGTGTAAGCTGGGCGTTGGGGGCGCATGCCTTTAATCCCAGTACTTAGGAGGCAGAGGCAGGCGGATCCCTGTGAGTTCAAGGCCAGCCTGGTCTACAGAGTGAGTTCCAGGACAGCCTCCAAAACAATACAAAGAAACCCTGTCTCAAAAACCAAAAAAAAAAAAAAGATTTAGCCTCCATAGAAGCTCAAAGGCCTGCTTCCCAAGCAAGGTATGTGTGAGTCCCTAGGGCTAACTGCAGTGGCTCCTCCCATAACCTTTCCCTGAGAATACTGTCTTTGCTCCTACAACTCACACAAGCTTGAGCCCCTTCCCTGAAGGCCCTTAAGGAAAGCAGTCAGCCTACAGTGAGTCTTAGCGGGTCCTTCACTTACAGACCCCCCTAGCCCGCTGCACTCTGCCTCCATGCTGTGGGGTATCATTTTTAAGCCCCTCCTCAAAGCTCTCCTCCTTCCTACTACCTGTGGAAAGTCTCAAGGCTGAGCAACCCCCCTCCTGCTAAGAGGAGACAAGATGTGCCCACCAGGAAGACTGCCGGCAGCGGGCAGCAAGCCTTCTTCCTCGGCCTCAGCCCTCTTTTTTCCTGTCCTTTATTCTCTCCCCATGCTGTGGGGAGGCTGGGTGCCTCTCGGGTAGTCTGTGCTTTCTGGGGCTGCAGAGAGGCACGGGACTCTGAAGCAAAGGTGGGCAGAGAAGAAAACTACCATTCCATGTCTAGCAATGGTGCAGTAACCAGAGGTGGTAAAAACGGAGGCTGCTGGGAACTGCCTGCTTCCTGCCTGGCAGGAACCCTACACAGGCAGAACATAAATGCTGTCTTCTGTGCACTTCCACTTGAGGCTAGATCCTCTTCCTCCAACAGGACCCTGGTCAGAAGCACCAGCCAGCCCACTCTTTCTCACTCTCCTTTTTAATTCTTGCACTATGCATTGAACCCAGTGCCTTGTCTATACTAGACAAACACTCTGCCATGGAGTCCTCTTTATTTTTTATTTTGAGACAGGGTCTTGTTAAGTTGTTCAGGCTGGTTTTGAACTCACTTTCTAGCTTAGGCAGCCTTCGGACTTGCAATCCTCCTGGTTCAGCCTCCCAAGTAGCTGGAGTGACAGGCCTGCTGCCACCAGGCTGACTATACCGCTTCTCTTAACCTTGGGTCACTCTTTTGTTTAAGAAAAGTTACAAACCTCTTCTTGAAGCTTTGAGTTCGTCTTTTCCAAGCCATCTATCTTCGTTTGAAGATCCCCAACTGTGCAGCTGTAGAGAATAAACACAGTGGTCAGCCTAAATTTAGAACAGTGCGCTGTTTTCCCAACTGGTGAGCGAGAAGGGGGAGTCCTGACTTCCTCCGTGAAAGGAAAGGCGCAGGGCTGCTCAGACTCTGAGGTAGGAACTCTGTGTGGATACTGAGATAACTACAACCAAAAATCACTGTCGGCTGGTCAGCTGGGTAGCGATGGTGCACGCCTTTAATCACAGCACTCAGGAGGCAGACTCAGGCAGATCTTTGTGAGTTTGAGGCCAGCCTGGTCTACATAGTGAGTTCCAAGACAGCCAGGGCCACAGGAAGAAACCCTGTTTTATTTATTTATTTTTTAAAGTTTTTTTTTTTATGTTTATGGGTTTTGCCTGTATGTATTTCTGTACTTAACAGTTACGGAGGCCAGCAGAGGCTATCAGAGCTCCAGGTACTGGAGTTACAGGTGGTTGTGTACACCCATGTGGGATCTGAGAACTGAACCCGAGGCCTTTGCAAGAGAGGCAAGTGCTCTTAACCTCGGAGCCATCTCTCCAGCCCCACTCACTAACCTTTGAAGACAAGGCCTCTCACTGAAAGAGCAGCTCACTGAATGGCTACCATGGCTGACCAGGAAGTTCTAGGGATCTCCCTGTCTCCATGTTCCCACGGCTGAGGTTACACATGTGCATGGCAATACCCAGTTTTTTTTGTTTTTTTTTTGGTTTTTTTCGAGACAGGGTTTCTCTGTGGCTTTGGAGGCTGTCCTGGAACTCGCTTGGTAGTCCAGGCTGGTCTTGAACTCACAGAGATCCGCCTGCGTCTGCCTCCCGAGTGCTGGGATTAAAGGCGTGCGCCACCAACGCCCGGCGATACCCAGTTTTTATGTCAATACTGGAGATCTGAACTCAGGTCCTTGTGCTTGTGCAGATGGCTCCTGACACCCTGAGCCATCTCCCCAGCTGCAGAGCTGACTTTAATTATTTACTTTATGCATACATGTATTTTTTCTGCATGTATATCTGTACTAGATGTGTGCCTGATCCCTGTAGAGGTCATAAGAGGGCGTCAGATCCCCTGGAGCTGGTGTTACAGGGGATTACAAGCCTGCATATAGATGCTAGGAATTGAATCTGGATCCTGTGGAAGAGCAGTCAATGGTCTTAACTGCTGAGCCATCTGCTCAGTCCTGCAAAGTTAAGTTTTAAATCTTACACTTTTCTACATTTTTTGAGGCATTCTCTTAAAAAATAATTTATTGTTTTTAGATTTATTTAGTGTTTTTGAGACAGGGTTTCTCTGTGTAGCTTTGGCTGTCCTGGAACTTGTTCTGCACTGGGATTAACAGGCTGGCCTGGAACTCACTGCCTCCCATAGATTTCTTTTTATGTGTATGAGCATTTTGTCTGTATGAATATATGTGCTCCACATGTGCAGCACCTAAGAGGTCAGAGGAGGTGCTAGATCCCCTGGGGTTCTGAGGCACCGTGTGGGTGCTCGGTGAGAGCAACAAGTGCCATGTATCCATTAGCCACCACTTCAGCCACTTCTGTAACAGTTGAAGTTACTTTTAGACTGTGAAAACTGCAAAGAATCTGCAAACAGGAAAACAATAGGTTTGATGATAGCAACAAGCCCTTTGACAAGAGCAGCAACTTAGCTTTTGTTCTGTATGTCAAGCCATCTTTGCTGTAAGCATTTTAAATTCATCAACTCACTTAATTTTCTCCATAATTGAAGAGGTAGTTCTGCTAATTTACTTTGCAGATGATCAACTATAAACATTTATATTAAAGAACTTAAGTACATGTATGTCTTCCCTCACCCAACTTTTTTTTTTTTTTTTTTTTTTTTAGTGATGGGGATGGAACCTAGGGTATCCCTGACTCACAACCCCAGACCCCCCTCCTCTACTCCCATCTTTTTTAAGGTTTTATTTTAAGCCAGGTATAGCGGCTCACACCTTTAATCCAAGCACTGGAGAGGTAGAGGCTGATGGATCTCTGTGTGTTCCAGACTCCAGGCCAACCAGGACTATATATTCAGACCCTATTTAACACACACACACACACACACACACACACACACACACACACACACACACACACACACACACACACACACACACACACCCCTCACTACCACCACCACGACGTGTGCAGGTGCCAATGGAGGCCAGAATTGGAGTTGTAGGCAGTTGAGAGCTGCCTGAAGTGGGTACTGGGAACAGAACTCTGAGAGAAATGTGACTTCTTAACAACTGAATTCTCTCTCCAGCCCCTTCCTTCATTTTCCATACTATTTGCTCCCTTCCCCAAGGCTGCACTCTGTGTATCACCTCTTTATGCTGCACAACAGCACAAACAAAGCTGAAGAACTCCCCAGGGTTGTTCATCAGGCAGGTGCCCTCTCCCAGGCTGGACACATGAATGTGGCTTGAGTGGTTACAACTTGTCTCTTGGTTTGGACAAAACTTAGTTTTGACTGTTAAAACGGTGGACCCCCTGCAAAGCTGTGTGGCATGGACAGAGGCGGAGTGGGCCTTACCTTAAGTGCCGATTAAGCTCTTCCACGTAATTTTTTTGATCGAGGACATCAGTAATTCTTTCATGCCTTGTGAAAAGAGTACACGGAGATAATAACTTCTTAAATTCACATAAAATTATTTGTAACTGTCCTCCAACCTTCTGGAGACCTTGCAGAAACCAAGAGGCAGTCAGAGCTACATTTGGAGTAAACAGAGCAGGGCTGGTCTGACCCAGCAGCAAGGCTTGAAGACAGGCCACCCTGACAGCAGGGGCCCTGCAGACTGCCTGTGCCTCGCAGGGAGGACAGAAAGCCAAGGGCATTTGTGCATGGTGAATACACCTGCCCGTCACATGCAATGGCTCCAGAAGTGGTCGATGACAGTCTTACTGTACTGAAAAATAGGGGATAGACTCTGAATACAGTAGAGCAATCTACAGGCCAAGGAAGTTTCAGTAAAAAGCATCATCACCATTTGACAGTCAAGTTTTCTCTCAGATTAACTGAGTCCTTTTTTTTAAAAATTCCAATAATTTAAAAATGTATGTGGACCTGGCATGATGACGCACGCCTTTAATCCCAGCACTCTGGAGGCAGAGACAGGCAGATCTCTGAGTTCCAGGACAGCCAGAGCTACACAGAAAAACCCTGTCTCAAAACACAAACAAACAAACGTAGGTGTTTTCCTGTTTGTTGGTATATGCACCATATGCAAGTATCCGTGGGAGCCAGAAGAGAGTCAGATTTCCTGTGGGTTCTCTGTAAGAGCAGCAAGTGTTCTTATCACAGTCATCTCTCCAGCCCTTCCTTCTTTCCTTCCTTCCTTTCTTTTTTTTTTTTTTGGTTTTTTTGAGACAGGGTTTCTCTGTGGCTTTGGAGGCTATCCTGGAACTAGCTCTTGTAGACCAGGCTGGCCTCGAACCCACAGAGATCCACTTGCCTCTGCCTCCTGAGTGCTGAGATTAAAGGCATGCATCACCAACGCCCGGCCCCTTCCTTTCTTTAAAATACACACACACACACACACACACACACACACACACACGCACGCACGGGTTTAGAAGAAAGTGACCATAGCAGTTTCCTGTGGTGAGAGGAGTGGGGAGAGAGGGGAACTCTCACACGCATGCTCTATTCTGAGCAACAAGCCAACATCTTGTCCCCCGGGGAAGAGTGACAAGCAGCACAATACTCACTCTCTGCCGCTGTCAAGATCCTGCACATCCTTCAGATAGAGGGAAAAGTCAATCACTCCAACCTGATAGAAATAAAGGTCACAGGCTTAGACACATTGCAGTCTTCATTCCCACAAACCAAGTCTTGAAATTCAGGACGTTCACTTCACTGCTGTGTATGCATCCAAAGGAATCGCAGTATTTATAAAGAGTAATAAAGGTTTTGGGTATATAGTAATTTTATCTTAATTTTTTTGTTTTTGTTTTTGTTTTTGGTTTTTCGAGACAGGGTTTCTCTGTGCCTTTGGAGGCTGTCCTGGAACTCGCTTGGTAGTCCAGGCTGGTCTTGAACTCACAGAAATCCTCCTGCCTCTGCCTCCCGAGTGCTGGGATTAAAGGCAGGCGCCACCAACACCCGGCTTTATCTTAATTTTTTAATTTTATGTGCATTGGTGTCTTGTTTGTATTTATGAACAAAGTAATTTTAAAAGAGGAAAAGAAGAGAGAGAGCACACACGAGCCTTCTAGACTACAGTGACAGTCTGATTTATCTGACACTTCTAAGCCCTTCTTTCCACACCTGTCTAGGTTGTCTCTTATTTATTTATTTTGTCAACAAGCTAGAGTTATTTGACGAGAGGGGACAACTGAGAAAATGCTTCTAGGGAGGGACAAGCCTGTGGGGAACTTTTTGACTGATGATGTGGGAGGGCCCAGCCTATTGTAGGTAGTGCTACTGGGCATGAGGTCCTGGATGGTATAAGAAAGGCTGATAGGAAACACAGCAATGACCAGGATGGTACAGCAACCCAACCCTAAGGGTGCAGTAGTGGCAGAGACACCTCAGCAATGACCAACAGCTCTTTAACTGACCACTCAACAAGAAGGAAACCATGCCTGGTGCTGGAAACCTAGCCAACTACCCAGACTGGTGAAGTCATGGATCCTTCAGAGGAAGCTGCAACCACTACTTTACTAAACCACACAATTCCTAACTATACTCTGAATATTTATCCTTACACCCACAGATAAGTGTAGTCCTTATCCCAATTAAGGAAATTTCTTGCTGGGTGCTAGTGGCGCAAGCCTTTAATCCCAGCACTTGGGAAGCAGAGGCAGGAGGATATCTGTGAATTCGAGGTCAGCCTGGTCTACAGAGTGAGTTCCGTAACTGCCAGGGCTGTTACACAGAGAAACCCTGTCTCGAAAAACCAAAACAAAGGAAACAAATGAACGAACAAACAAAAGAAAAAGAAAAATTCTCTTTTCAACAGATGGAGACCATTACAGAAAACTACAACCAATCTAAATGTGGAGTTGTGGAGCCCGTCCCAACTGACACATCTACAGCACAACTCCTACCCTAAGGTTCAGGGATCATTGTAAAAGAGGAGATAGGAAGATTTTGGGAGTCAGAGAAGCAGGGAGTTGGCTGTGAGATTGTGTCTCCTAGGAATGTCTGAAGCTATGCGTAAGAAGTTTCATCAAGATGTGTTGGGGAAGTCCTTTATCAATAAAGCACTGTTGAGCCAATAGGAATCTAGATAGGTGGGACTAGGAGTCCAGGAGGATTCTGGGAAAGAGAAACACGAGGAGAGTTGAGATGTAACCGCCATGGGGTAGGAAGCCCGGAAATGTCTCTGGTAAGAGAAATACTTAGATTAGCAATTATGGGGTAATTACTTAAGTCAGAGCTAGCCAGTAAGAAACAAGCAAGGCCAACAGCTTCGTAATTAATATAGCCTCCTGTGTGTTTATTTGGGACTGATGTGGCTCTAGAACCAGGCTGGCGGGAAGGTTTCTCTCAAGGAAAAAGCTTCTCTTTACAGAATGGTTGTGAGGAGTGGGATTGAATTTCCACACAAAATAACAAAAGATTTAAAGGAATTTTAGAAACAGAAGAACGGAGAGAAGCACAGATTTTTGGTAGCAGCATTTTCTCAGGTGGGCCCTGTTTTGCTATTGACAAGCCGAGATTCACGCGGCTCACTTACCGGAGTCTTACTGACTCGGCATTAAAAAAAACAAACAAACAAAAAAACAAACCAGCAAGGTTGTTTTAAGAGACTCTGCTAACGATTGAAAGGTGTGTGCGTACATATGGAAGTGGCAGCATTTGCTGGATGTCAGCATGGACTGAGGCAGTAAACTAGAGTCACGCTTACGCCCGCCATCTTGAAAAAAAAAAGTCAGTTTAAAACAGCCACGGGTTTAACAGATAAGACACGTGGCCAGAAAAACATAAAGATTTACAGTAAAGTCAGACTTGGATGAAGAAAAACCTGTAAAGGTTTACAATGTGTTTAAAAATATACGTGAGATTGAGAGAGAAAATGAAACGGCAAAGTGGTAAATAAACACGAAAGCCGGCGTTGTGGCAGAGGCAGAGGCAGGTGGATTTCCAAAGAGAAACCCTGTCTCAAAGAAAAATAAATAAAAGTAAAATAAATAAAGTAATAATAGATAAATAAATAAGCCACGTAAAGATGGAAAATACACAGTCTGGATACTGTATGCTATTGTGTTTTTCAGTTTTTTGATTGCTAAGGAAGGAACAGCTGCTAAAGTACACTTGATTATAAATGCTGCTGAATTAATCCAACTTCTATCTTTTGAAAATGCCTTGACTTCAAAATTTAAGTATAAGGATATGTTACTCGGAAAAGGAGTTTTTGCTTATGTTTCTACAGAAAATGAAAAGCTGAGGATTCCTTCCAGGCTTCTGTGGTTTGACAAACCAAGACCCCCGGAAGCAGTGGATCAGATGTTCTAACAATTGAAACAGCTAAGATGATGCAGTCTTACAGACCCCGAAAATATGGACTTATACAGGTTTCTGAGTTTTGTCATGATCCCCATAGTACGAACAGCGCCCCCTTCCAGCAGGAAGCAGTTTGGAATGAGAGACGTCCCAATTCCCATCTTGTTTATAAATCTTTGTTTTCATTTAAATGGGATTGTTTATAATTGGTTAATGATCACAACCAATCTCTTTTTAATGGTAAAAAGGGGAATTATGGTATGGGTATTGTTTTTCATTTATTGATACAAATTCAAGGTCAATTTTGTGATGTATATATTTCTCCTCTTGATTAAGTATTGTGCTTATACTGATCTTTTAAAACATAATACATAATTAAATATAGACTATAGATAGTTACTTATAATAGAATTTATAGTTAGGTAAGTTAGGTTTTCTAGATATACAGAAATATATTTGAGATAGATAAACAAACAGTCTTCAAAGCTCTCAAAGACCTTCAGAAAATGGCATTTAAAATGGTTTAGGGTTTTTCTTGACAATGAGAAATGTCTGCTCCTGGCAGCACCAATTATGTCTGAGAGGAAGATGGGCATCGAAGAAACTCGTTATGGAGTTTGCTTTCAACATGGCAAGATTAGCCATTTGGGCAAGAAACTGCTCTTGCCTGTACTGCTTGACTGTTGTTGTATAATCTGGACATGCAGGGCCCACAGGAAAGTGACTGCTGAACTCAGTCTTACAGGGTTCCTGATTCATGGAAGAGTCTACGAGACTTTCTGCAGGACACAGAAAAATGACTGACAGACTGCCAATGCAGATGGACAGTTTGAAATTTCCTGCTTTGCTGAGAAATCTTCTGGACACATTGTGGCCTATGGGCTGAAGATGGATGCCCCAACATTACAGAGGAACTTCGGGTGACTGCCCAGGTAGCAAGATGTCTCTGTCAATCCTAGTGTTTATATATTATCCTTCTGTGGTCTTTGATGGAGTTGAAGACAGATAATTATAGATTTCCTTAGTTACATATAGGCTACATATAGAACTTTGGACTCACAAGGATGGGATGGATGATATTTTCTTTAAATCTTGCTAAAATATTGTAACTATATTCTTACTTGATAACTGTTCTGTTATATACAATTTGACTATGTTAAAGTTAAGACCTTTCTTTTTGTTTAAACAGAAAAGAGGAGATGTTGGGGAAGTCCTTTGTCAATAAAGCACTGTTGAGCCAATAGGAATCTAGATAGGTGAGACTAGGAGTCCAGGAGGATTCTGGGAAAGAGAAACACGAGGAGAGTTGAGATGTAACCGCCATGGGGTAGGAAGCCAGGAAACGTCTCCGGTAAGAGAAATACTTAGATTAGCAATTAAGATGACTGTCTAAATGATGATCTGAACCAGGACAGCAATAATAGACATGCTAAAGTGCATGAGGCATGGTGGTGTAGAGGGGAAGTCCATGAGGCTTCAGCCTACACAAAGCAACTATAGGATGCTGAGAGCTGGAAAATGCCTTCCTCAGGGGAGAGCATACCAATTGGTTATCTGATACTAAATGATTAGCCCTGAAAACTACACATACGAGTAATGTTATATAGACAGAGCAGGTTGTACTTGTGTATTTAGGAATACACACTCACACTATGTTTTTGAAGGGAATGCAAACCTTCAAAAAAGAACAAAACAAACAAACAAAGAGCGAACTTCCTGTTCTACTAAACTGTGGTACAAAACAGGAGGATGACCATCTCCCAGTTCAATCTATGAGTGAGCATAATCCCGGGAGGAGGCAAAGGCCCACAGGAAACTCACAACAGTTTCCTCATAAGCACAAACACGTGATTCAGGGTGTAGGAAAAGAATATGACACAATAACCAAGTAGGTCTTATTTTAGGAACATAGAAATGGTACTGGTATAGGAAACCCACACACTAACTGTTCTATTTGAGTTAAAACAGGTGCCAACCAAACAAGACATCTGATAGCATTCAATGTTCACTTCTAATAAACACACAAAGACAATTAGAAAACCAGAACACACAGTAAATATGTGTTTATACTTTCTGGAGCTGTCCATCTGTCTATCTCTCTACCTATCTCTATATTTTTGGAAGCAAAGTCTTACTACATGGTCTAGCTTGGCTCAAGTCTTGCAAGCCTCTTGGTCTCCCAAGTACTTGGCTTACAAGTATGTGCTACCAAGCCCAGCTTAGAACAGTATTTTGGGGCCAGAGAGATGGCTCAGAGGTTAAGAGCACTGGCTGCTCTTCCAGAGGTCCTGAGTTCAATTCCCAGCAATCACATGGTGGCTCACAACCATCTATAATGAGATCTGGTGCCCTCTGCTGGCCTGCAGGGATACATGCAGGCAGAACATTGTATACATAATAAATAAATAAATCTTTAAAAAGAACAGTATTTTGATTATTATTAATTTTTTTGTGTATGTGTGTATGCTGTTGTCCATGGTGTGTGTGCCTTAGTGTGTGTGCATTCACAGGTCTCGGGTTGACTCTGGTGTCTTCTGTTTGATTCTTTGAGCAGAGTCGAGTATTTTATTAAAGATATGTAGTACAGGCTTCAGCACAAGGATTAGGAGAAAGAGGTGCTCAGTAGTCAGTGAGGCACACTTGAGGGCAGGCTGTGGGCTCACCTTTTTTTGAGGGGGTCTCACTACCTTGCTGGCCTGAAACTCACTAGATCAGGCACTTACAGAAACCCACTTTTCCTCTGATGGGATTAAAGGCCTGTACCACCACTCCCAGCTTCTCTTTTAAAAAAAAAAAATGATACAAAGTAATGGTTTTCTCTCTCCTCTCTCCCCCTCTCTCTGAGAAATCTCTATTTTTTGGGGGGGATGGTGTTTATTTTTACGTGTATGGTTGTTGTGCCTGCGTGCACATCCGTGTACCATGTGTGGTGCCTGTGGAGGCCAGAAGGCATGGCTCCTCTGGAACTGGAGTAAGAGAGTTGCTAGCTGTCTTGTGTGTGCTGGGAACTGAACCTGGGTGAGCAGTGAGCCATCTCTTCAGTCCTACCCCTTTCTTTTTTTAAGGCATTGTTTTATGTTTCCCAGACTGGCCTTGAAGTTGGCTATGTACTGAGGATGACTTTCTGCTTCTGATCGTCCTGGTTCCCCTTCCAGGGTGTTGGGATTACAGGCATGCTCCACCACGCCTGGTTTATGTGGAGTAAGGACCCAACCCTAAGGCACTGTGTACGCTACGCAAGCGCTCTACCAACTGAGCCGCATCCCGCCTCTGCCCATGTCACTTCTTCGCTCTTCTGAGACGTCCCCGGTTGCTTCCCCACCTCCCCAGCACTGCAGCCTGCTCTAAACTCTACGAGAGGCCTCTTGTCTCTGTCCCTTTCTTAGGTTCAGCCCATGTCTGCAGATTTCACGCAGAACATTCCTGGCCTGATTCATTCCATCAAAGCCTAAATCCCATATTACCTGAGAATCCAAGTCTTCTCCCTTTAAGCAGAGATTGGCATCCAGAACATTGAGTCCCACCAGCAGACCGACAATCACCATCCCCTCTTCCTCCATCATTAATGCCTCAGGCTCATAGAACTCACTGCAAGAGACTGACACGTCAGGGAGCTGCTCAGAAATACCTTCACTACTCACGCTCACCCCAGCCTCCTGCCTTGTCATCCTGTGGCTGCCACCTGGCTTCTGTCCCTACCCTGAAGTAAGGGACCTCAGGGAGTTTCCTCTCTCCCACCAAGTCGAGCACTTCCTCTTCTGCTACAGTTGAATCCTAAGCGTCCCCCAAAGGCCCTTGTAGTAAAGTTGCTCCCTAGCTTGTTGCTGTTAAAAATGTAAGAAGTGGGGCCAATTGAGAGGTCGCTAGGTTTCTGGGGGTGTGCTCTGCAGGAGGTGTGTGTGTGCCTTTTTTTTTTTTTTTTTTTTTTTTTTTTTTTGGTTTTTCGAGACAGGGTATTGTTTTGGAGCCTGTTCTAGAACTCGCTCTTGTAGACCAGGCTGGCCTTGAATCCATAGAGATCCACCTGCCTCTGCCTCCTGAGTGCTGGGATTAAAGGCACGTGCCACCAATGTCCGGCAAGTTTTTACTAATGCTGAGAAACACACATTTTACAAACTGGATATGAAGTCTTCAGGTAGATTAGGTACCTATGTTCTCTTACAAAAAAAAAAATCATCCACTGTCCCTAGTTCAAAAATTATTTTATTTCTGTTATCATTTAGTCTAATAACTACCATTTTATTAAAACTTAATTGAGCTGGGCGTTGGTGGCGCACGTCTTTAATCCCAGCACTGGGGAGGCAGAAGCAGGCAGATCTCTGTGAGTTCGAGGCTGGGCTGGACCGACAGCCTCCAAAACAATACAGAGAAACTCTGCCTTGTAAACCACCCCCCCCCAAAAAAACCACCTTAATTGAATAGGCTACCAGTTAACAACTTATGAGAATTAATAATTGGGAGGATTATTTTCAGAATTCAAAATGAAGTCTCATTCACAATGCTCCTGAGATATCAGGGCTCAATAAAGAAACACTTCAAACCAAGACTCAGAGCACTGAAGATTAGTAATGATTTCCATCTTAGCGATGAACATTCTAGTTCTCTTATTTCACAATGATCTACAGACCATGCGGCCACTGCAAAGCAAAAGAAACGATTATGAAATACCTTAAGAGATGCTTATTGTCTATGAGGACTTTCAGGTAATCTGCCAGTTTCTTTTGCATGAGCGCAAGATAAAGCCAGGCTCTGCCTCGTCCCACGGCTGTCCTAGAATTCAGAGAATCAGACTGCTAAGGCATAATAACAGCAACAAATACATTAGAAAATAAAATTATCTGGGGGAGAGGTGCATATACACACAGAGAAGAGAGGAAGGAGGGAGGGAGGGAGAGAGAGATCACACACATGGCAGTTTAGGGATTACAGAGGTACTGTGTGGGCAGAGAGAATGCTCACTGTACAAGTTAGTACCTCAGGCACTTCAAGTGTCTGAGTCTCATAAGACTCTGAGGCACAGGTTCACATATGCAATTTTATGTTTGTGCTAATACAATGAAAAATGTACCACCCTGGGCTGGAGACACAACTGTCATTTCCCTGATTCCCACATTATGGGTGCTGGGAACAAAACTCCAGTTCTCTATAAGAGCAACAAACACTCTTCGTTGCTGAGTCTACCTGAAGCCCCAACAACAAATTAAACTATGTGAACCACATGGTAGGAGGTGACCACTGTCTTCATACTGAGAACAAGAGTCTGAGGCCCAGGAAGGTTCAAGTCTTCCTTAAGGTCACGTGAATAATGAGCAGCACTGGTGGGATTAGAATCCAAGTATGGTTCCCATTACAGAGTGTTCCAAATCAGAAAAGAATTGAGAGGAGGCAAGCAGCACAGAGGAAAAAGCAAACATTCAGTCAGCATTGATACTTCTTACTCACTTCAGTTCTGGAAGATTCCTGACACTGGTAGCTATATCTGATGCTTCAGGACAAAGTTTTTCCACCAGCTCCAAAGGACCAAAGAAAGATTTATTTTGGCCAATGAAACTCTTCTTAACTGAAAGAGAAAACAACAGTGTTAGTCATGAGAACACTGCAGTTTCTTCTGGGGCCCACAGTCTTCCCTTCTAAAGCCAAGTACAGCTACAAAGTTTCATGGTCAAATCTATGACCCAGTATTTCAGACTAGGAGAGGCCACAGTCCAAATCAGCTCTGCGTTCCTTTGGCAATGAGTTTTCTCTGTTATCAAGCTCTTTCTTCAAGAACTTGCTGCTTATGAACTGAAATCTGCAAAACCCTGGTGGAAGCATCGGTGCTCAATTCCTAATTCCTAATTGTCACAGTGTTTTGTCTACTGAACTGCCACAATAACCTAATTTCTTTTCCTAGTATCTTCAGTTCCCTACCCTTAAAATTTGTATTCCATTTAGCTGCAAGGTTTTTTCCTTTTTTAAGATGGAAAATGAGTCATATTTCTCCCTCACTCAGGAGAAGATACAGGTCCCTGTCATTACTTGATAAGGGCCTGTGAGACCCAGTCCCTCCCCACTTCCCCGTTCTCATCCTCCATTCTTTAATTCCACACTCCCTGGTTCCCAGGTATCTGCCTCAAGTCTAGTTTGGTCCTACTCAGGACATTTGCATCTTCTTTGTTTTGTCTCTTGTGGCAGGAATGCTGTGGGCTCAAATCTCTGCAGTGTTCTCTCTTCCTTAAGTTTCAGTTCACATGTCAACCCTTCAGTAAGAACTTTCCTTCCTGCATCTGACAGTTTCCTACTTCATTCCCTATCATCTCACCTGTTTTGTTTCTCTGAATTAGCAGCACTTTGTAATTCTGTGTTTCTGCATTCACTGTCTTGGCCTTTAAAACTGTGTTGCCCAAGGTCACTGACAGCCACACGTTACTAATGGTGCACCTGCAGTGTGGCTAATGCAGCCAAGGAACTGGAATGACAATGTAAACATGGTAGATTTTAAGCCTTACTATTAGAAAGTGCCTACCAGGGAACTAAGAATGATCTCTGTGGCTTGTAGTGCCATTTTCACTGAACAGTGCTGCTCTAGATACAGGGAACCTTCCTGTTTCTGTGAGCTACTCTCTTCTCTGCACCCGCTACAATGCTGGCACTAGAGCGAGCAAAGACTTAGCCCACATCTCCATGCTCCTAAACGTCCCCAGGCTCACCTTTCAGCCCATGTTTGAGGCAATGCTCCATCACTACAAAGAACTGCTGCAAAGGGGCATGGTCTGCATCCAGACTGCGTCCCAGGCTAAGGGCAGACTGGAGTAAGACTTTAATGCTGAGTTTCATCATGTGCATCAGGTTGGCACGCTCCTCCATCATCTGGCCCTTGGAAGCTGTGGGCACAAGCAAGGACAACTTCGTTAGTGGACTGAGAGGGGTTTGGAGGTGAGGGGGATCAGACTGGTGTGGCAGAGGGCCAGAGGCTTGCTCAGGGTGAGGACGCACTGTCGGAAAGATATCCAGTCAAATCACATTCCATCTCTGCAGGATACAGCTCTTATGCAGCCACCTGAGCCTTGTGTGGAAGCAGAGACTGCCTCAGACGGAATCCTCTCCCAAGCGGCACCTTGAGTTACTCGGGCGATGACTCTAACAAAACTCGCCGAGATTGGTTTCTTCCCTGACCAATGAGAGGACCCAAAGCCTAGGCTGTCTTACCCCTCAAGCTAGAAGGCGTACCGAGGAAGCGCCCCGCCCTGACCACTCCTATTGGACAAAGCCAGCTCAGAGCCACGCCCATGGAGGAGCGCGACCATTTTGCACTATCTGGCTCACAGGGTTTCAGGATGTCCTTTTATCCTGCTATGTATGAGTGCAGTCCAGACCCCGAGTCTTCACTCTCGACGTGTGGCCATTCTGTGTTTTGCACACACTTAAAGAAGTTCGTTACAAACAACTACATATCCATTTCTACTATATTCATCTTGCCACTTTGGAGATTAAAAGTCCGTCTACAGTTAGTAAGGGACATCTAGGACAAGTGCTTTAAAAATGTTGGTTTAAACCCCCGAAATGATATCCTAGAGTTTAAAAGGTTTAGACTCCAGGACTAGAGAGATGGCTCTGCGGCTATGAACACATACTACTCAGAGCCCTTTCCTGGACTCTACAGGCACCTGCACATACCTCCTTCCCCCATACACACAGTTATATTAAAAATAAAAACAAACCTTAAAGAAATTAGATTCCAAACTAAAAGCCCCCACAGGTGTACTAGGTGCAGGATGACGGGGGTCTCCCTGTGCTATGCTCCTGCGCCACCCTTCAACCATGTCCTTTGGTCAAGCAACTTTTCAGTCTATTACTTCCTGGTCCCCGACACCCCCTCCTCCCCCTCTCCCCCGTAAACCACTTGCTTAATCTTTTAATTTTTGCGTGGGAGGTTTTGCCCTTCTCATTGATATGTACATTCTGGATGTGAGCACTGATGAGGGCATAGAATTAAAAGAGAACATGTAGGTGCCATTTAAATGAAAATGAGGACATGCCCACTTCTAGGTATGGCTGGGTTTTTATTGTAGCTATGAGGGAGAATACTGCCAGAGGCCCACGGAAGAGTCCAGACTGAATGCGGTCAGAATAGAGGACCGTGAGAGGAGAAGGAGAGGGGTAGAGAAGGGGGAAGGAAGGGGGGACGGGCAGGGGGAGGGAGAAGGAAAGGAGAGTGGGCACAGGGAAGACAGGAGCCAGGACCAAGAGTGAGTAGAGGTGCCCAAGATGGAAAGTAGTCAAAATTGTTGAGTTGTATAGGAAAGAGAAGCTGGGACAGGGTATGCCAGCCAGGGTGACTGTGACATTTGATAGTAGGGAATGAGAGAGCCCAGGGGCTAGCACAGACTTTAATGTGGTAAGAGGCACCAAAGGCCTATATAGGTTAATGGAAGAGCCACAAGTCACTTTTGCCAGGACTAAGGAGATGACTTCTTTTAGCAAGCAGAACTACCTTCTTAAGACCCAGAGGGAATGCTGGCTTTTGCCTAAATGTTAGGCTTTGGGGAAAGGAATTTCTTGGAACCTAATACCACTTAATACACATATAGAAACTGAACAATAGTTAAATCTAAAAGATGGATTTTATAACTCCGAATTTATAATAAAGATTAAGATTGCAATGGGACTAAAATTTCTAAATTCTCTCGGCAAAGCACAAGAAGTCTGGGGAGGGGGCTGGGTCTCAACATTTCATTTGGTGTGGGGGAGGAAGAAATGGGTTAAGTAAAGCATATGGATAGGAGTGGTAAGTGTAAACATTCCAACAAATCGGATGGAATGGATTCTGGCACTCAGGAGTCAAAGAATACTTACTGAGTGTTACAGCTCAGATGGAAAGGTATTCTGGCAATCAGGAATCAAGGAATACCACAGGTCACAGTAAGCATACCAGCTTACTGGCAGGAGAGGGTTTCCTCAGTGAAGTTGTTGAAGTTGTTACAGTTTGGCTCCAGTCCGCTGGACAAAGTGTAACAACTTCACTTTGCCAGCGGAATGAAGGGTTCCCCAGCGAAAAGTGTTACAGCTGTCCTGCTCTGCTTGGCCCAGGATCATCTCTGCTCCAGGGTGGCAGAGTACAGCTGGGCAGACTGAACAGCCATAAACTGAACAGACACATGGTTTATATAGGGATTCTTAGGGGGCAGAGTGTGTCATGCTTCCCCCCTCGATTTCCAGGGTGGGGATTGGTCGGCTTTCAATCCCTGAGCTCAGAATGGTTAGATCTGCTCAGAGATTGGTTAGTTTTCCGCACAGGTTTAGGGTCAGATTTGGCTCTGGTTTCAGGGCCAAAGTGTGTTTCTTTCACTGGTCATTTTTAGCCTTTTGGCTTTAATTTTAGGGCCAGGGTGTATTTCTTTCACTGACTCTGATTCCAGGGACAAAGTGTGTTTCTTTGGCACTGGTTTCAGGGTCAGGGTGCATTTGTTTGGTTCCGGTTGAAGGGCCAAAGTGTGTTTCTTTGTCTCTGCTCAGGGTGTGTTTCTTTGGCTGGCCCTTTTCCCTTACAGTAAAGTTATTTTTAACTGTTTAGAAAATCCTATTAGTTAAATGTTTACATTATAAAGAAATGGATTGGAGAAAAACTTGTAAAACTTAAGGAAAAAGAACAAGAATTCAAGAAAAAAACACGAATATATCACAATCATAGAAAGTCAATAAAAACTTATTTATTGGTTTTCCAAGGCAGGGTTTCTGTGTGGCCCAGGCTGTCCTGGAACTAGCTCTGTAGATCAGGCTGGCCTCACACTAAGAGCTCTGCTTCCCAAGTGCTGGGACTAAAGGTGTGTGCCACCATAGTAGGGCTTTGAGATCTTTCAGTGAGGGCATTTGAAGACCTCAGGTACCATGTACATTCTCCCCTTGCTTTATAAAGTGATACCTGAGTCCAATAGCTTGTCTCAATCAAAGACATTTGCTAAAAAGAAATATTGCATTGACAAAGGGTAATGAAATAAACAACATTTAGATAATTTGGGGTTTTTCTGGGTTAAACAAGGTGTATAAATGGAGGACTAACAAGTATTACCACTTTGTAAGTCTTGGTGAAGCATATTTTGGTATTTCCCAGAAGTTGAGACATTATTTTTTAAAGAAACTAATTTTTGAAGGTTTTTTTTAATGCTGTGTATGGGTATTTTGTTTGTGTGCCTGGTGTCCATGGAGGCCAGAAGAGGGTATCTCATAGATGTGGACTGGAGTTACAGATAGTTGTAAGCCTCCCTGTGGGTGCTGGGAATCAAATGAGGCCTCTGGAAGAGCAGTCAATATTCTCAACCACCAGGCCATCTCTCCAGCCCATGATTTTGTTTAAAGTCAGTCTCTGGCCCAGCATATTAAGATGGCTCAGTATGTTAAAGTGTCTGCTGCCAAGCTTGAGAACCTGAGCTCTATTCTACTCCTAGGACCCACATGGTGGAAGGAGAGAACCAACTCCAGCTAGTTATCCTCTGGCATGCAAGGGGTGTGGCTTCCACATGTACATGTATGGATGCACACAAAATAGGAAATGGATAAAAATCAATATGATCTTGAACTTCTGATCCTTTTTGCCTTCATCTTGTAAAGGCTGAGATTACAGGCATGTGCTACCATGCCCATTTATATTTGTGTTGGGTCTTGAACCCAGGGTCTGGTGCATACCAGGCAAGTACTCTACCATTGAGCTACATGCTCTAACTTCATAGTCTGATACTATGGGGTAATGCTATCCTGCATGAACCAAAAGCAAGAACAATCCTGGGCTTTCTTGGTTTTCAGAAAATTTTTCTTCTTGTTTTTATAGCTCACTTAATCACTAAAGTCAAAGGGAAAGCTAGTGTTTCACCCGAAGAGGGCTGTACCTGCTGTGTAGAGGTGCTCTGACACACAGAAGATAAACTGCCCCGGAAGGGGGGTGTGGTAGCATGTTCCTGAATCCCAGAATGTGGGAGGTGGAGGTGGGGGGTCAGATCCCAAAACCAGTCTTGTGTCTGCATAGCAAGTTTGAGGCCACAATGGACTATATGAAACTCTGTCTCAAAAATCAAAGAAAACCAAACAAAAACCACGGACAAGAACAGGTCCAAGTTCACACCACGACCTGATGAGACAGACACAATGAAATACTTTTTTTCCAGATTGCTTACCACTATGCTACCTAGTCTATAGCTTTCAACTCCTGACTTGGCTAGCCTCTTGCCCCAACCTTGTGAATGGCTAAGACTCCATCCAGCCCTACCTAAATAATTGTGAATTAAAGACCGCCCATTCATGTGGGTGTTGTCACTCATTCTTTAGACAGTTTCACCCTAAAAAGCAAGATGTGTCTTTTTGTGTATCCAGTGTGTATGAAAGCATGGTGTTGAGAAAGGAGAGCTGGAGAGCTGTGTGCAAAGACCCTTGGAAAGATTCAACAGTATATCTGAGCACTCATGCACCAGGCACGTGTAAGAAAACCGAGTCCCTGTGGCCAGTGCTCCCCCTCCCATGCTTATCCGTAGCTAGCTGCAACAGGCCGAAGAGGGCAAGTCACTGGCTCCACGTCACACAGTGATGGGGTTGCTGGGGTCCACCTGGACATCAAGACCCTCCACTTCCTCTCTAGGACCCACACTGTTAAGTGGGGCAAAGGGAGGGTAGCAGATCTGGGCCTGGAGGCTGCACCCCTCATCCTACTAGAGCGATGGACTTGGCACCAAATAAAGGCTGGGATGGGTCTCAAAAAAAAAAAAAAAAAGAAAAGAAAAGAAAATCCCAGCTGAAATAGATAACTGTACACTTGAGCCCGTGTGGGCATTTTAAAACAAATATTCAAAGTATCCACAACATTCCACTGAAATCACTGTAATTTTTTCCCCTTCCT